AGTTTCACAGTATATTGTCTGTTGAAAGTTTAAAAATTTTGCCTTTTATATCATATCTAGAATCTGCCTGGGACTCACTGTGACTGCGGGGGCAAGGGGAGGAGCCTGTTGTCTTATCCCCTGTTTCTGAGTAGTGTGTCTTCCCTGTCTGTAGTGCCACCTCTGTTCCAAAGCTGGCTTTAGTCTTCAGAGGCCTGTTTCTGGGGGATCTTTGATCCCCAAACTCCACCTCTACCAATTTGCTATAAGGAGTAGTTGAGGACATATGTAGATATTTAGCAATGGAAATCTGCACTGAAACCTTTTGTTGTTGTTTTGTGGTGCTGGGGTGGAACTCAGGGCTTTGGTCTTGACAAACAAGAACTCTACCATAGCCAGGTGCTTTGATGCATGCCTATAATTCCAGTGATTTGGGAGGCTGAGGCAGAAGGATTGTGAGTTTGAGGCCAGCTGTGGCAATTTAGCAAGAATCGGTAGATTAGATAGATAGATAGATAGATAGATAGATAGATAGGGCTGGGGATATAGCTCAGTGGTAGAACACCCCTGGGTTCAATCCCCAGTATTGGGGAGAGGTGGGGAAAGAGCTCTACCACTGATTTTGCCCCATTGAAGCTTTGTTGATAGTATTGAGTGAGCGGGAGCATTCTGAGTGTTGTAGCTATGGGAATTAGTTATGGCTTAGAGCATGTTGGGACAGGGAAACCCTCTGTGACCAATAGAAATGTATCATATCACAAGAATAGTGAGTCAGAGTAAAAAGTCAAGAAACAAGCAAGTTTAAAAAACCCGTCCTCCTGGCTTCTTTTGCTTTCAGGTACCTTTTGGAGTAGCTTTGCCCTCTGGCTGGCCACCGGTCTGCTTTACCTGGTGACTTTCCCCCAGGCCTTTACCACTGTGCTGTTGGGCTCGCATCACTGATGCTGACTTCTCAATGAACTCCTGATTTCTGACCACTTTGTCACTGTCCTTTTGACCTCCCCTCCTCCTTTCTATCCCCTGAATTATTGGGCCCCCTGATCCTGTTTCCCTGGGCCTCCTGAAATCTCATACCTTCTCCCTGGGGACCTCATAGACTGTGAGAGCTGGCTGCCAGCTTCACACCAAACTCCCTGGCTGTTTTGGGGCCATTTACTCCACATGTCCAAAATGAAACCTGCACCCTTCCCCACAGCTGGATGCTTTGGAGTCATCTGAGATTTCTGTCCTGTCTCCTCATCTTTTTTTTTTGTTTTGTTTTGTTTTTATTTATTTTATTTTATTTTTTATTTTTTTAGAGAGAGAGAGAGAGAGAGAGAGAGAGAGAGAATTTTTTTAATCTTTATTTTTTAGTTTTTGGCGGACACAACATCTTTGTTTGTATGTGGTGCTGAGGATTGAACCCGGGCCACACGCATGCCAGGCGAGCGCGCTACCCCTTGAGCCACATCCCCAGCCCCCCACTTGAGCCACATCCCCAGCCCCTCCTCATCTTTTTTAAAGTGGGCTTCTGAGCCACCACTCCCTCATTCAGGGCTTGATGACCTATAAAAAACAGTCAGGCAGTGATCTGGGGGCTATCTAGCCTTCCTGCCCTGTTGGTCTTTGTCTCTAGCCTGAGGAGCAGCATGGTGGCCTCTGAGGCCCCAGGCCCTGCTCTCCTACCTATTCAGGTACTTGCTAAGGTTTGTGGTGTGTAGCCTTTCCTTGGAGGGCATTATATATGTCCCCTGTCCCTGAGCACCCACCTTATGCAGCTGTCTGTCCTCCTCTGGTCTGAACTTCTGTTCACAGCACTGCTCTGTGTTTGAGAAAGGGAGGCAGGAAAGAAGAGATATCCTCACCCTGTGATGGAACCCTCATGGTGCCTTTCAGAGGATACCTGGCAGTGTGTATTTGACCAGGGCTTGTGGAGCCTACTGTGGACCTTCTCTGCTCACTGTTTTGACTCTCTTTTCAGAGTTATTCCCAGAGCTGTCTCTGGGAGGAGAAACCACTAGAGACTTCTGCTCCCCTGTCCCCCACAGAAGGGCCTTGTGGTCTTGGACCTGGGGGTGGATGTGTCTGTGTGGTCTGTGGGTGGCTTTGGCTCTCAGGGCCACACTTAGGCTCAGGCTTCCTACTCTGTTGGCTTTATCACTCTGGTTCTGCCTTGGGGTCCCACCTGCTTACTCTTGGTTGGAGGTGGATGGAGTACTGGCTTGTCCACTTGCCGTTCTTTATCTGACTGGTGACTGAACATTTTCTTGGTATGTGTTGTATATTTGTCTCTGATTGTGATAAGGCTACCCTGGAATGACAGAGCTGTCCCTTCTGTTTGTGCACTGATTGAGAACTGAGCGAGCACGTAGGTCTGACGCTGACTTCTGCTTCTCTCTGGGGTAGGGAGGGTTGCCAGCACAGCAATGTTTCCTGTGGGAGCCTCTCATAGGCTGCCCACTGCAAAGCACATTTCTGGGGTGTGATTTTCTTGACTGCTTTTAGTTCATTGCTTTTGACTGAGTGTTTAAAAATATTCTGCAGCATATCTATAGTATTCAGGAGCAGCGAATCAGGAGAAGAAATGCAGTTTCTGAGAAAGCTTCAAAGAAATACTGGTCTTTATCTTTTCCCCAGCCTTTTCCGCTGAAACCCACCAGAGTCTTTTTCTGAGCATGCTTGTTCTATAAATAGAACGGCAGGTCTCCTTGGGCTGCCCGAGATCGCAGGCTCTCATCCGCTTTCTGAAAGACGTGTGTGTGTGTGTGTGTGTGTGTGTGTGTGTTGGATTTTAATTTTGCTTTTCTTTTCTGTATGAGATGGGTGGTGAAAGATGTAAGAAAAATGACCTGAGCATCTGTCTTTAACGATAATTTATACATTTTTTGGGTTTTGGCTTGTTGGTTTTGTTAACTTTTTCTTTTTTAAAAAACTGCATTTATGAAAGAGATGGAAGTGATTTCTTCTTCCCCTGCAGAGGTAAGGAAGATGAATGAGGGGTGAGAAGGCATCTTCAGAGTGAGTCCTTTGAAGTCCACAAAGAGAGGATCTCACGGAGTATGCCCCATGGTCTGAGGACTGGTGTTGTGTACAGTTGTATTTAACATGAACTTTACGATCTGTAAAGGATGCTGGGAAGGAAACTCCAGCTACCAGAACTTCCATACTGTAGACTGGTTTATGTCCTGGCTTCTGGGTGGTTCTGTTTTGGCACATGATCTGCATGATAGTGACTGTAGCTGATGTGTCTTTTCTGGCTCATGGGGTAATGTTGGGCTCCTCTTTTCTTTCTTCTTGGCAATCGATAGTTAACTGAAAGGAGGTGAAGGTAGAAACCGCTGTATAAGTAAATTTGTCAGCACTTCTCCCCCTGGGCACTGGAGCACAGACTCCATCTATGGGGTTCATGGGGGTGAATGGGGAGCATGGTGGAAGTGGTGGTGAATGCTGACATGTGTGGCCCACCCTGCCCAGAAGTGGCCCAGGGAGGGTGTCCTGCAGTCAATGAGGAGAGGAGACCCCAGGTGCTGTGCACTGGCTCTTGAGTGCTCAGCCAAGGGCCTGGGGCCTGGCCCTATGTGTTTGGTTGGTGGGGTTGGGCTCCATGTCCTGCTCCCTCTCCTGTGATGAGCAGGCTGATGGACTCTTGCCATTCTTTTGCCTTTCTGTAACTCAAACTTCTTTGGAAGTTTTTTTTTTGTTGTTGTTGCTAGGGGTTCAGGGGTTGAACACTTAACCAGTGAGCCATATCTCCAGCCGCCCCCCCACTTTTTTTCTTTGGATTTTAGTGAGAGACAGGGTCTCATTGAGTTGCTTAGGCCCTCACTGAATTGCTGAGGCTGGCTTTGAACTTGAGAGCCTCCTGACCTCAGCCTCCCGAGCCGAGCCGCTGGGATTACAAGCATGCGTCACCATGCCCAGCTTGTTTTAGGAAGTTTTAAGTGGGCTTAGATGCCTAGATATTTCCTACATACATTGCTTTTAAAAGTTATTTTAAGTATGCATGTCCTTAACAGAATTTTTGTAGATTCTCTCACTGTCTGCAGGTTAGACTCATTGTGGAATGGAGATTTCTGTTAGGTGTGGTATAAGAAAGTATCAAATGCTGAGAGCCTGTTTCTTGTTTTCCTGTGTGGTGTGTTTATTAGTTTTTTCCCCCCTGTGGTGCTGGGGATTGAACTCCGCATATGTGAGGCTAGCACCCTGCCACTGATTTTCACCTCTAGCTCCTGTTCATTGGTGTTGACTGTGTTGAGCTCTGAGTGGCTTGAGACATCTTTCAACTGTGTAGGTCCTTGAACATTTAATTCTCAAGTGGGGTGCAGGGTCAGTCCATTAGGAGTCTAACTCATGGGATGCATAGGGGAAGACAGCTCCAGAGAAGCTGTATCCCTCTGTTCTTGCTTTTCCTGAGCCTGGGTATATTACAGATTCTCTGAGACATGAACTCTGTGTGGTAGGCTCTTCAGGGCCCTGGGATGGGTTGGATGCAGGGCCTCTAATTGTGGCACTTATCTCTTATTGTGCACGAATGCCTGTGCTGAGGGTGAGTAGAGCACAGGCCTGGAGCTATGCTGAACCCCAGAGAAATGGACATAGGCAGAATTGGCAGCAGGATCCTGAGAAATGGCAGGAGGCCAGAGAACACAGAGATGGGGCCAAGAATAGCTGAAATGTACCAAATGCTAAAGCTAGAGAATGTGCTGGCCTTGTGTTCCATTTGTCCTCCCAGCTGTTGCTTACTGCAGTCTGCAAGCCTCAGTTTCCCCTCTGCTAGTCTGCTGGGCATATCTAGGGCACAACTGGGCCTCTGACACTCTGCCTGACACAGGCATGCCATTGCCCCTTAGAGAATGGATGTGCCAGGGCCTCCCCAGCAGCACACTGCTGTGTTCAGGGCATGGTCTGAGAGTGTGAGGAGCACTTCTTTGGTAGGCTGCTTGGCCCCACAGAGACACAAATGCACATCAGCCACCCTGGGGTGTGTGTCAGCTGGATGCCCCTTAGAAATGCAAGTTCATGAATATGTTTTTGTCTTTCAGACTGTCATCAAGGAGGGGATGCTGACGAAGCAGAACAATTCATTCCAGCGATCAAAAAGGAGATACTTTAAGCTTCGTGGACGAACACTGTACTATGCCAAAACTGCAAAGGTGAGGCGCAGTGACAGGAACACTCAGGGAGCTCAGCTTGGAGGGGACTGAGTTCTTGTGGGATGATGGGGAGCTCCAATTCGCAGACCTGTTCTTTCCAGCTAGTTTCTTACCCTCTAGAGGCATACACAGAGGTTTACTTAGGAAAGTAGATATGTATTCAAGGGAGAATGAGAGCCATCTCAAGAAACCCCTGTGGGGTAAAACAAGGAGCTTGCACTCAGGGCAGAGTGCAGGCCCTTTTTAGAGGGAGAGACACTCCAGCTGGCTTTGCAGCAATCTGGTGTGTCAGGTTTTGTTTGTCTCAAGGCATATTTTATTTCTTACAAAATTTATTCATTTTTCTTTTTCTTTGATGTCACTCATCACTAATGGGAAAAGCAGAAGAGGGTCACAGAGTTACCACAATGGAACATTGTCCCTTCAGGAAGATGGGGACCACAGGCTTACCCATTTCTTATTATGAGCTAAGAGTGGTTTTGAAGCATACTGGGCTTCTTGGGGTGTGACCAGAAATGTGAAATTCTTTATTTGTATGCTTTCCAGCAATTAGCTTTATTTGTGGGTGCTCCTTAGAGTTGAGGGAACAGTAAACAGGAGGTAGAGTCTATGGTGGATGGCTTAGGAGAGAGAAGAAAAAAGGGAATCTTCAGGCCTCATCCCTAGCCCTTGCTTAGAGACTGACTGTTGCTTTCCAGGACTCAATTCCTTTTTGCTTGGCTCCCTGGTTTTCTTTATAGTCAGATCCCTGCTATTAGGGTCTGTTTCTTTCCCTGGATTAGTTTATTGCAACTAGGACCTTTCTCCTAAATGTGCTGGATGGAAAAACAAACCAGAAGGATGGAGGATGTTCAGTACAACACAGGCTTTCTGTCAGGTGGACCATTGCATGAGGACATACTTCACATTTCAAAGTGAAACCCTGGCTGGGCGTGGTGGTGCCTACCTGTAATCCCAGCGACTTAGAAGGCTGAGGCAGGAGGATTGCAAGTTCAAAGCCAGCCTCAGCAATTTAGCAAGACCCTGTCTCTAAATAAAATATAAAAAAAGGCTGGGGGATGTGGTTCAATGGTAAAGCACCCCTGGGTTCAGTTCCTGGTTCCCTCTTTCCCCTAAAAAAGTGAAACCTTCATATTAATAGTAGTGTTTGATTTAAAAAATAAATATAGAAGTATTGGTATTGTTTTTGTAATTCTTAAATTTTTTTTATCTATTTATTTATTTATTTGTAAATTTTTGTTTCCACTAATGCAATCACTGATGAGCTGTCTGGATTAAAAACAAAAATCACAGCACTATCCCTGTGAGTTCCATGCATGCTCTTTGTTAGAAGCGGTCAGGGTGGCTGCATTAATTTGTCAGCTTATTGATCATGTGCCATTTTCAAACAACCTGGTTTGTGGGGGTCGGGAAAATGGTGGGTATGCTAGTGCTTCAGATACACTTGTCTTGGCATGTCTGAATCCTGGTGTTTGTTTCTTTCCAGTCAATCATATTTGACGAGGTGGACCTGACGGATGCCAGCGTAGCTGAATCCAGCACCAAAAATGTCAACAATAGTTTTACGGTAAGACTCAGTCATACCTTTCTGATTCTTTACTACATTTGGCTTTCCTTTTTAATTTAAACAAATGCATGCAGACTCTTCAGCCTCTTGCATGCTTTTCTTCCTGATTGGAATGATTTATGGTAAATTTTGAATCTAATGCTGGAAATAATACTACGGTTGGAGAGTAATTGAGAATTTGGCACATATAAGCACAAAAGAAATTTTTAAGGAAAGTGTAGTTTACATTTAACAATTTGGTTGAAAGGTTTTTTTAAAAAAATGTTTTTGTGAATTTGTGGGAAATTTGGAAAATGGAAAAAAAATGTGTTAAAGCAATTGAAAAGCAGCCATAATTTAGCCACATAAGAATGTTAATGTTTTGGTGTATTTCTCTTCTTTATTACATTTAAACTGTTTCCCTTCCAAATTTGTGAAAGTTATGTGGTGCTTTCTGCAGAAGTTCTGAATGCACAAGCTCAAGTGCTCCTCTCACTCTTCAGAGATAAACAGCTTCTTACTGCGAAGCATTTGCCACTATTTCTTTCTTTCTTTCTTTTTTTTTTTTTTGAGAGAGCGAGAATTTTTTAATATTTATTTTTTAGTTTTCGGCGGACACAACATCTTCGTTTGTATGTGGTGCTGAGGATCGAACCCGGGCCGCACGCATGCCAGGCGAGCGCGCTACCGCTTGAGCCACATCCCCAGCCTTTGCCGCTATTTCTGTACATCTGTATTTTTACTTACATGTGCTCTGAGATAGACTGATTTTTTTTTTTTTTTTGGTGCCCTTTTTTTCCCTCTTGACGTTTTTGATGGCTATTTTCCCATGTCAGTTGATCAAAATGTGTAACATATTATTGTTTTTTTAAAATAAAATTTTTTAAATACCTGTATTTTATTTATTTTTATGTGGTGCTGAGGATCAAACCCAGTGCCTTGCATGTGCTAGGTAAGCAGTCTACCTCTGAGCCACAACCCCAGCCCCAAAATGTGTATCATGTTGTTAATGGCTATATAGTTTCCCCTCCCCTGCCCTCTTTTCTTTCACTGGGGATTGAACCCAGGGCCTTGTATTTGCCAGCCAAGCACTTTACCACTAAGCCAAAGCATTCTTTCCTCTCCTTTCCTTTGCTTTCACCTTCAAAGTGAACCCCGAGGTGCTTTACTACTGAACTACACCCTGAGACCTTTTCATTTTTTATCTTGAGACAGGGTCTTGCTCAGTTGCTTGAGGTCTTGCTAAGTTGCCCAGACTGGCTTTGAACTTGTGATCTTCCTGCCTCGGTTGCTGGAATTATAGGCATGTATACGTTGACCAGCCATAGCATTTTCTTGTATGGCTTGATAATCTTGGCTTCATAAGCTGACTTTTGTCATCCTGTGTAAGGGATGACTCTGATTTCAGCATTAGAACTCTAAAATATTTTTATTAAGCTCTCTCATCTAGACATAAAGTGTCCCCTAATTTCCTAATTTGAAAGTTGTTTTTTTTTTTTAATAACAATCAAGGTGGGTAATTTCTCTCCTGTTTAGGATCTGACATTTTGGATTAATGTATTTTCAGGTTATGCTTTATCTATTCTTTTGTAAATTGATTACTGACATTGCTGATAGGAATGGAGTTCTCCCTCCTCCACTTAAACTTCTTCTCATTTCATGTTGATGTAGCTGCTCTCTGGGTTTTACTTTGTGGCTTATCAAGTTGGTCAAGCTTTCTCTTTATTCCTTATTTTACTTGGAGTATTTGTACTTTTTCTCTGTTAATTTTATCATTTACTTACTGGTTGGGGAGAGGCAATTTAAGCCATGTAAAATGGATTATTCTTTGATTTGTGTTTTTCAGAGTTTTTAATAGGAACAGGTGTTGCATTTCATTGTAGTCTGCAGGGCGTTAATTTAGATGTTAATTTAGTTTTAGCTATTTGAACATTTTCTAATAATAAATTGTTCTTGGTAATGTTAAATGTTAACTTCCTAATTTTGTGTTTAGAATATTCCCATCAGTACATATGCTATCCTTTGAGGTAGGAGATGGGTTTTGTTGAGTTTTGATTTAAACTTGCCCCACAAAATTGATGGGGCAAGTTTAAATCAAAATTTACATGCATTTATGTGTTCTGGAACATTTTAATAGCTTTGGGATTGGTTGTTTCTTGAAAGTGAGAGGGAAGTCAGGAAGACTTGTCAAGGAGGTAAGGCTGTGACTTGATTACTTTATCTATGTCTTTGGTTAGATCCTTTTTTCATTATGAATTTTATTTGGTTAGCTTGCTTTTCTTGTCAGATTTCTTAAAATCTAGCATTTTTGTTTTATTTTTAAACAATTCAGTTCTTGGATTATTGATCAATTTCATTTTTCTATTTTCTCATTTGGTTTCTGCATTTACGAGTTGGTTTTTCAGCTTAATTTTCTTTTTTGCAATTTATTGATTGGCTTATTTTCATTTTTTTATCACATGAATACATACATAAATGAAAACCTGAAGGGCTCTCAATTTAACTGAGTGCCTTTCTATTCACATTTCAGAAATTGTATTTTTCTCTCAATTATTAAGGGCAAATAATTTTTCTGATAATTTTAAAGTATATAAATATAAAATGTAAAATCACCTCTTATTATCCAAAGATAATCAGCAATATATTTGGGTTTATAGCATTTCCACAAAAGACATTTTATGAAATATAGTTTTTAGTTTTCTTTCTTCACTTCGATTAATTTATTATTATATCCTTCAAAATTCTATTCATATTGAATATTATTTTATCAGAAATATATGCTTATTTTTTAAAATATATCTTTTTAATTGTAGTTGGACACAATATCTTTTATTTTATTTTTATGTGGTGCTGAGGATTGAACCCAGGGCCTGGCACATGCTAGGTGAGCGCTCTACTTCTGAGCCACAACCCCAGCCCCTATATGCTTATTTTTACCTCTTTATTATTGGAATATTCCTGTTTTTCCCATCATACACTGTACTGTGTTCCACACTTGGACACAGTTTCTTTTATGCCTTTCCGATAATTTCTATAGTAAGCTTTCTTAGAATAGAATTCCATTTAAGGTAAGCATGAACTAAGGGAATTCATGATAACTAGACCAGCATTTCAGAAGACACTTAAAGGGAATCCTAGACCCAGAAGAGAAACAACTATAAGAGCATATGAAAGAAGAAATTCCACTAGAAGAGTAGTAATGCTGACAAATAATAAACAATCAATATTATCAATAGAGTAAACCATCAAACTTCTAAGATTAATGACAGGAAGAAATGAATATATAATATTCAGAACAATCAGTAGAAAAACAACAAAATGACAGGAATGAGTACATACCTTTCAATAATAACCTTTCCATAATAACATACCTTTTATTTCACCCACCTCCTTTTCTTTTTGTGGTACTGGGGATTGAACCCAGTGTAGGGAAGTGTTCTACCGCTGAGCATATCCCAGCCCTAATAACATAACTTTTAATAATAAGTAAATGATATTGGGTTGGAGATATAGTTCAGTTGGTAGAGTGCTTGCCTCGCATGCACAAGACTCTGGGTTTAATCCTCAGCATCCTAAAAATAAATAAGTAAATAAATAAATGAAGGAATTTTTCTATATTCTGCTGGAGTGACACATAAATAGTCCTTTTTTTTTAAAGAGAGAGAGAGAGAGAAAGAGAATTTTTTAATATTTATTTTGAGTTTTTCGGTGGACACAACATCTTTTATTTTATTTTTATGTGGTGCTGAGGATCGAACCCAGGGCCCTGCGTATGCCAGGCGAGCGCCTTACCTCTTGAGCACATCCCCAGCCCAATGGTCTTAATTCTCTAATGAAAAGATGTGGACTGGTTGAATGGATTAAAAAACAAGACCCAATAACATTCCGTTTGTAAGAAGCTCACTTCACCTACAAAAGTGAAGGATGGAAAATGATATTGTAAGCAGTTAGAATCCAGAAGGAAGCAGAAGTAGCTATACATAAACAAAATAGACTTTAAAACAAAATCAGAAGAGACAAAGAAGGTAACTGTGTGGATCAAAGGAATAGTCATAAACATGTATGCACCAAACATCAGAGCATGTAATTTTATGGAAGAAACACTACTAGACATAAAGGGAGAGGTAGGCTCCAAACAATATTAGTGATTTCATTTCCCCATTCTCTAGTAGATAGTTGTTTTTGTTAGCTTTTCATTGCTGGGACAAAACACCTGGGAAAAACACCTTAAAGGAGGATTTATTTTGGCTCAACTGTTTCAGAGGTTTCAGTCCATTGTTGTCTGGCTCCATTTCTTTGGACCTGAGGTGAGGCAGAGAATCATGACAGAGGAAAGCTGCTTAGTTAATGATAGCTGGGAAGCAGAGAGGCAAGAAGGGGCTGGGGATAAGATATAGTCCCCAAGGGCGTATCTTTAGTGATTTACTTCCTCCAACCTGGTCCTGCTTCCCAAAGCTTTTACAATCTTCAAGTAGTTCATTCTGTTATCAATGGATTAATCCACTGATAAGGTTAGAGACCTGGTAATCCAATTCCTTCCCCCAAAGCCCCACTTCTGCATTGGAGACCAAACCCTCAACACATGAGACTTTGAGGGACGTTTCAGATTCAAACCACAACAGTGGGTCATTCAGACCCCCCCCCCCAAAAAAAAAATTAATCAAGATACATCAGAGTTAAGTTACACTATTGATCAAATGGACGTAACAGATATCTACAGAATATTCCATCTAACAGGTGGAGAATACACATTCTTTTCATCAGTATGTGGATTTTTTTTCGGAATAGGCCATATATTAATTTAAAAGCATGACTTAAATAATTTAAAACAATTGAAATAATTTCTTGCATCTTACTTAATCACAGAGAAATTGCAGAGTAAAAACATGGAGATTGAATGACGCTATTGAATGAATAGAGGGTCACTGAAGAAATAAGAAGAGAAGTTAAAAAATTCCTGAGTCAAATCAAAATAGAAACACAACAGCAGATTCTGTGAAATACAGAGAAAGTAGTGCCAA